CAGCTGGCCATACCTGTAGCATAATGGCCATCAGCTGACTTGAGCCTCCTGCTTTTATGCAGCTCCCTGGTCCCTCCTGCTCACTAAAGTTATCAGTATTTGTAGAACTACAGGATTTCCAACTCAATATGTAGTCTGGAAAGATTCTATATATTTTTTGTAAAGAAAGTGACTCTACCATTGCTTTCTCCTATCTGATCAAAAGCCTGAAGGAAGTTAAACTGCAGGCATTATCTTGATTTTGTGGTCTTCCAAGTTCCTCATAAAGACAAAAGGAGAGGTAGAGAATGACTGAACCATAGTACTGGGAACGGGCAGTGTGACCAATTGACCTCTGAAACAGCAAAAGTCATCAAACTTCCCGTTTGTTCTCTGATCAGAAAGGGGGAAGTGTAGTAATTTCCCTCTCTCATTCCTCTCTATGTCAGGATACACACATGCTAGCAAAACACCACTTCATACAAGGGTTTGGGCAGAGACTTGTACAGGAAGAAATAAACTGCAAACAAAGCAGAGTTGTAAACTTATGTAAGTCTTGTCAGAATCAGGAAACCATTTATAAATCTAGTTCACTTCTGGGAAATATTTGGCGTAGGATATATAAATGACAGAACTTGTGGCAACTGTGATTCTCCTCTGGCATGTTCTTGGAGGATGAGCAAGGAGGCTCAAAATGTTCCTTATTTATCTGTCTTGGATGACACATAGCAACGAGGTGAGCTAATCAACATGATAATTAAGTAATTTAATATTCAGCATTTATTGTGTAATAACAATAAACTGCATTTTGAACATCTAGTAGTTACAGTGAGATGTATTACTCATGAATGCAAAGAAATACACATTTCCCCCTTATGTGCACAGTAAGGAAAAAGCAGAAATCTGCCTTCTAGACTGATTCACCATTTCACTTAATGGCACTGTGTATCTCATTTCCTGGGAAGTTTCAAGCAGTGAAATCATTCTTGACACCCTGTCCTTACACAAGAGCTACATGCAATTATCACACCAAAGTGACAACATGATCTGAAGTTTGGATGAGGGTAAGAGGGTAAAGTGTCAGTAACAGCTTTATTAATATGACAGGACACTTGAATGTCTCAACTGGAATGAGTGTCTCCAGAATTGTAGACCTTGGTGTTGACAGCAAACATCTCACCATGGTTATTAGACAACTGCTTGCTTCTGACCATTTGGTGCTACTCAAATTCTGAGTGAGTATCAGCAGAGAAAGATGTTGTCTCCAGGTAGTAAATGTGCAATATAGAATTTGAAAAACTTCCAGATGAAGAGTTTGGGGTTTGATTTTGGTGCTAGGTTTTTTTTCCCTCTTCCTTTCCCCCAATACATATATATAATCAGTTTTTTTCTGGAGGGCAAAGGGGAAGGAAAGGGCTTGGCTGGATTTTGGCTTGTTGTCTTTTTTAAGGAAATACTCCTTTTTTTTTCTGCTGAGATGTTATCATAGTCTACATTGGCCATACAACTTCATAAACCTTTTTCAAAAGACTGTGTGACTGACATTTTTCAAGCCTATTTTTCACTTGATATAGAATAAACAAATTTTTTTCTTTTCCTTTTTTTTTTTTTCCTCTCTCTCTTGGAATCTCCTTTGCCCTAAAAGAAAGCAAAAGATGACCTTTCACCTGTTGTCCTGATAAGCTACACCTCTTGCTTTTGTATCAATTCACTGATAGAAAAAGGTGGAAATTTGCTCTTAGTCCTTACCACTGACTCTCAGCTCTGTCATAAGGGTTGAGAATATCTCAGAATACCCCAGTCACAGTGTTTTTTGAGTTGTCACCAATCAACAGGAAGCCAATGTTTTTTTTAGCAGAAAAGGTTCTCAAACATCAGTTGTCATACCAAGCTCTAGCCATGCTGTAAAATGTAATTGTGCTCACTGACTTTGGTGCATGATCCAATCTGGTAGCTCTGTTCTCACCAGCTATGAATGCAAGGTAACTTAGCCTTCAATGTGTTTATCTTATTCACACTAACAGTACATACATGGGCAATTACTAGTTGCTGGGTGACAAATATGCAACCCTGCCAATTTCACAAGAATGTGTCTGGTTGTGCTTAAGTCCCTTACTACAGGATCTACTAGGCATTTGAAATGGTTAGAAGTTCATTCCACTCAACTCTAACAAAAAGGCAGACTTCTGGCCAAAGTCAAGAGTTTGAGCAATAACTCTCAAAAGGATGAACAGCTGTGAAAGAAGAGCGAGCTATTTATACAACATGGTTTATTATAAGCCATTGATGAGATCAGAACAGTGCCATCATAGCTGTAAAAATGCGTGAGTTGGAGTTGAAAAATGTATTTAAAAAGAACAAAACAATATAACTTTTATCTTCACCTGCTCTGAAGCACTTGCTACATTATGAAAGTGAGACAGTTGTTGAAAAGATCTTCAAAAGGCTGCAAGAAGGAAGAAGTGGCTGATCACACTTCTATCAGAGAAAGGAATCTTAAATACTCAAAGATATGACATCTATCCTTCTTTTCCAGTTTAGACAAGGAAATTAGAGTAAGTCAGCTACATACTTTTTCAAAGCAACATTTTACTGTTTGTTTTTTTTTTCCTACCTCAATAATAGCTCTCATGAGAAGAGTTAATGCAACATTCAGCAAGTAAAATGTTGTGGTCTTTTGTCTACAGCCAGTACACATGACACTTTTTGAGCAATGGAAAAAAAATAATTATAGATACCTGACTTTTTTTAAAAATAAGTTTTGCACAATGTGGATGGGAAAGAAGAGAGCAAGCAGGACACCAGAGTATTCTTTCAGTGAGTTGCACATTATATTGTATGATGTACATCTTGACAAGGCATTGTCTTGATATTTGTCATAGGTTTTTTAGAATATTAAAACCGCCCTTAGAACTACAGTGCAACAGGGACCATGTTTAAACTCTGAAAAACAGAGACTGGTATTAAACTAGAAATTCTGTCTATAACTTCATCCTGTGTAATTATGTCAATAAAATAATGGCAATAAAAATGATTTGAAAACTGTACCCCAGAGTATTTGCAAGTCAGTAAGTAGTTAAACTTCACAGAACCTTTGTAATAAAAAGTTAATTTTGCATTTTAATATTAAAATATTCGGAGAGACCTTGCTGCTAGTGTCATAATTACTGGATAAATACAGGCAATTGATTTCCACATGCATCCTTCTGCTTCAGCATAGTTCTGTCCAAGTCAGAGGGAGGGAAACTGAGGCAATGACATATCATAAGTGAAGTTTTCAGAAATATGAGTGAATTAGGAACAGAATTCCCCAGAAAATAATGTTGAGGTTTGAGTTCCTAATTCAGTCCAATTTGAAAATCTCACCTCAAGGGAAGAAAAATCAAACTTTGATGTTGCTCTTCCACACCTATATTTAGGTGTGTGTTTGAGTTTGACACTAATGTACTCTGAATGTCTGCAAATATCCTCTTTTTACCCCCTTCTTTTTTTTTTGCCAGCACTTACATGGACATTGTTTCTTTTTCCTTTGGGATAGCAAATATTGCCTAACATAATTTGGCTGATACCAGAAATGGAATTGATGGCTGGGCCAGATCAAAACCCAGGGCCCTTCCTTCACTCCTATTTTCTAGACGTTAGCTCATGTTCTTTGAAAAGCTCATGTTCTTTGCTGCAACTTCACTGCTATCAGTGCATTAAGCTGTAATTTGGGATGACTTGGCTTCTGTTGTGATTAAATTGAACTCTTATCATAACCCAAATACAAGTTCTCGTTGTGTGTTTTCCCAGAACACAACAATATTGGCTTAACACCAAGCTGGCAGTCTGCACTCTAGGTCTTGGCTAGGAAATTATATTTGTAGATTGGTACACATACAAACACTCCTATATACACATGAGCATACACCCTCACACGCACATCCGCACACTATTTCAAGCACTAAGATATGACAGTGCCAGAGGAGACTAGAAAATCTCTGGAAGAAAGACATATGGAAGCTAAAAATTTATTTGAGATGTAAAAACCTCTTTGATCCACTTTGAAACTCCAGTTCCCACTCTCGGTAGCTATGAGGTAACCAAAGCCTTTCAGAGACCAGCATTAAGGGACTCCATACAAGAGAATTGCTCCAAATCTTTAATTTTTAAAATCATTATTTTTCCTTTTATTTGACCACAAGTCTTCCTTCCCCAGCTCCTTTCTTCACTGACAATATTTATTAAGGGCACGCAGCCCCACTTTCCAACTTTTTGTGAGTAGGAGAGGAGAAAACACATTGTACATCCCACCCATCTAAACATCCTGGCAAGTCACTTGAGTCTCACTGTCTCCTTATTCTGTTTGTTTGCAGAATCTATTTTATTTTAAAGAACAGAGTCCTTCAAACTAGTAAAAAGCTGTATCTCCGGATGCCAAAGGGACAACACAGAGCCACTTTGTAAAGCAGATTGGCTGTCCTCCCTGCTCAGAGAGAGAAGAACCTAACTGAGGAATGTCACTTGGATGTCACTGAAAGCAGTTTGTCAAGTTGTCAAAGGGTCTCTGCACCTCATTGGAGCCAGCCATGGGAGAGGAAGGAGGGAAATCTCCATCCCAAAACTGCCTCTGTCACACTGGGAGATTAAGAATTGGACTTTGTCAGGGAGAACAGGGACAACTCCTGGGAGAAACATCACCTGTGTTCAACACACTTGAGCCAATATCATAGTAATTAATCTTGACAAGCCTTACAGATTTTATCCCTTCCCAGTATCTTCAGTACGCTTTCTGATTTTCTTCAAAGAGCATTTCTCCTCTGCTGAACCACAGCATGTTCTGTTCATCCCTCTTTCACAGACAGCAAAAAGGATGCTTTTCAAGAAGCACCCGAAGGAGCTTAATGTAATAAACCTCCATGATGCAGGAGATCAATTGTCTCTCAGAGCTCGGGCACGCAGCAGCCATGAAGTCTGAATACAATACACTTTCCACTACAGTAAGTCTTTGCTTGGCGAAGTTTTCCCATCAAATGACTTACCTGTGTGGGCAGCAATACTTCCCTGCTGGTCTCATTCTTCCAGCCTTCCTCTCCCACCTCAACCATTGTCAGACCTTCAGTCACACCTGTGACCTAGTCTAGCAGTCGTCATGTCTTTTGGCCCCATGTCAGACAAAGACTTTTTTTAAGCTATCTGACAAAGCTATACCACGTTCAAAAGGCCTTGAATGACTCAATCCAAGGAGAAAATGTTTGTAGATTACATTTGCTGGAGTAAATACTGGGTTTAGTTTTCCTGCTCAAATTTTAGCTCAGACGAGAAGGTGTATTCCCCAGTCACATAATGCCAGCAAGCAACAAAATAATCTATTCACCCTACAATGCATCTTTCTGCTGCTCACAGATTGCATTGGTAACAACCTGCAAAAAGATCACAGGTTTTAATTCCTGTCCTGACAGACTGAGAATGTGGTTTTCTCTTTGCGCTTGTTCCACAAAAATATTCTGCAGACAGTAAGCAAAAGGCTTACTTGCATGTCCTTCACCACCACAATGTCATTGAATGTTTGTCACTCAATGGACAAGATGTGAACTTTGCCTCCGGGCAGTTAAACCTCTGCTATGTCCCTGTTTGTTTACCAGCCTAATTTTGATAGGCGCTTCAATTTCTAACAATAGCTGGGTAAAAGCAAGAAATGGAGCAGGACATACAGATATTTTCAGCCACCTGTGAAGCAGCTGGCAATTTCTACAGTGTGCTGTGAAAAAGTCCTAGATAAAAATTAAGAAGATAAAGCAGCTATAGGTAATGCTTTAAGGCATCTTTTTCAAACCTGGTATATTTAAGGAAGGGTGTTTTCTTCTGTGGCAAAAAAAAAAACCAGTGTAAAGAAAATAATAGAAATCAAAAAAAGACTCCCATTATTTATGGTTCTAGTCAAAGTTGTACATCTGGGAATGCTGCTGGGTTTTTCAGCAGGGAAAATGAGAGAGGAGGCTGATCCAAGACACATAAATGCATAGGATCACCAAAAAATGTCTACAGCAAAGCAGACTCAGAGGGCATGTATTGTGCGTTCTTTGGAACACATGAGAAACTAAGAGATGACCTTTGCAAATTTAAGCTTTTGGTTATTTGCTTCCTGCCTCCAAACCAGGTTGTCTATCTAGTTTCCTCCTTTTAGACTTCTCTTTCCTCTGCATCTTGTCTCCAGTCTTTCCACTGCATCTCGTACCTTTAGTAATCAGATAGCATTTATAAAACTTTTTTATTTTTTCCCAGAAGGAAGGAAGTAGGGGGGATTTTTCATGCTGAAATAGCCATATTATTGCACAAAATTATACCATGGCCCCAAGAAATCAGCAATGTAAATATAAGGTGAAAGCATTTTCCATTTATATGGCAATAACTGGTGTTTCTCAAAGGACAGCATATGTTATTTGTGTAAAAGCATAAATTAGCCTAATGGGACCAGAGTGGATTCAAGGCAACTATTTACACTGCCTTACACCCCAGTTAGTCCCAGATGCTGCTCTTTCACACCTCAACAGAATCCAAATTTAGACTCTGCTTTTCCACCTGCTGCTTGCCTCCCTTGTTGAGTCCAACCTTTCATTTCCCAGGACTCCTAAGGCCCTTATATCACTTCATGTATCTTTCATAGAGGCGATTAGTGAGAACTTGGGGTCGGAAACCTGGGGGTGCATTATACCCAGCAAATTAAGAACATTAAAAGAAAGAGCTTGGAAGACAGGTAAAAGTAAATAAATAAATAAATAAGTATATGTCTCTCCAAGTCACCAGCTACCTAGGGATAGTTATGCTAATCAGGTTGCTTCATGAAGGCTTGCTGTATTTCAGGTCAAGCTTCTTGAAGCGCTACTCATCCTTATCCTTCCTTTTGGTTCCTAACCTAATGTTTGACTTCTAATTTTCCCTCCTCCCAGATGTCTCCTTTCAGCTGTCCAGGTTTCAATCCAACTTCTATTTCAGTTCTTTGTCAAGTAGGAGTATGCTGGAATTAGCAGTCTCTGTGATAGTCAGAGATTTTATCTTTTATTTTGATTAGAATAGGAAAAAAAGGAGAAAGAAGGAGAAGAGGCTTCAGTTTCAGAAAAGCATTTTATGCAGAATGGAGTAAGTCCAGAGTATACAGAGTGTGCAAGGGAGATACTATATCCTGGTCTCCATCAAAAGGAGCATGACCCGCAGGTCAAAGGAGGTGATCCTGCCCCTCTACTCTGCTCTCGTGAGACCTCACTTGGAGTATTGTGTGCAGTTCTGGTGTCCTCAACATAAAATGGCATTAAAGTGTTGGAACAAGTCCAGAGAAGGGCCATGAGGATGATCAGGGGACTGGAGCACCTCCTGGATGAAGACAGGCTGAGAAAGTTGAGGTTGTTCAGCCTGGAGAAGAGAAGGCTGGCATGGAGACCTGTCCTGGGTTCAGCAGTAGCAGTCATTTTTCTGCTTCGTGGTAGCTGGTGCAGTGCTGTGTTTTGACTTTCAGCCTGGGAACAGAGCTGATAACAAGGATGTTTTGGTTTGGCCAAGGACTTTGTGAGCCTCATGCTCTGCCAGGGAGGAGGGGAAGCCGGGAGGAAGCAGAGACAGGACACCTGACCCAAACTGACCAAAGAGGTATTCCATACCACAGCACGTCATGCCCAGGATGTAACTGGGAGTTACCCAGAAGGGATGGGACTGCAGGGTTGGAGGAGGTATGGGTCGGTGCTTGGTTGGGCTGGGGGCGTGAGTTATTGGCTGGCTGGTGGTGACGTGATGTATTCTATTCCCTTGTTATTTCCTTTATCATTGTTATTATTGGTGGTAGCAGTAGTGATCTGTGTTATACCTTAGTTACTAAACTGTTCTTATCTCAGCCTGGGGGGAGTTGCATTCTTTTGATTCTCCTCTCCGTCCCTCCAGGAGTAGGGGGAGGGCAAGAAGAGGGGGAAGTGAGTGAACAAGCTGTCTGGCTGGGTTTAAACCATGACAAGACCTCGTAGCAGCCTTCCAGTATCTGAAGGGGGACTAGAAGGATGCTGGGGAGGGACTCTTCATTAGGACTGTAGTTATAGGACAAGGGGTAACGAGTTCAAACTTAAACAGGGGAAGTTTGGACTGGATATAAGGAGGAAGTTCTTTACTGTTAGGGTGGTGAGGTGCTGGAATGGGTTGTGAAATGTGAATGCTCCATCCCTGGCAGTGTTCCAGGCCAGGTTGGACAGAGCCTTGGGTGTCATGGTTTAGTGTGAGGTGTCCCTGGCCATGGCAGGGGGGTTGAAACTAGGTGATCTTAAGGTCCTTTCCAACCCCAACTGTTCTATGATTCTATGATTCTATATCCTGAAATACAGTAGGTGCCAGAAGCCCTGTAAGAAGGATGGACACTGAGTAGCCCAGTTCCCATTTTTATGGTGTGCTGATGAACAACGAACACCTGCTCTGAAACTCAATGAGGTGAGCAGGAAGAACAAATTCCCATTAAGGCAGTGACAAAGTTGTGAAATACATCATCATCAGGGCCAGGTACTAAGCAAAAATGGGACTGGTCCAATTACATATTTCAGTAAGAAACAGAGGAAAGTCAAATCATACTGGGGTAAAAGTTAATGAAGAAGATCTGAAGTAAAAAAGAATAGAAATATTATGAGGTATGGGAAGAAGAAAAGATGCGAAAGCAGTAACATTTTGACAAAGGGTTTTTCCTCGTAATGTGGCAAACATAGTCCCATCTCCAGCCTGTTTGACTGAAGGGAACAAGGGAGCAAAGCAGAACAACCTTTCTAAAACTCTCTGAAAAGAATCAGAGAACAGTTCCTGCTGTGGGTCATTTTTCAGTCTCCAGTTCAAACGTACCACAGCCTCCTTGTTCCCACAGTACAGGCCTGACCTTAAAATCTTTCACGAGCTTTTGTTAACTGCAGCCCAGCTGGTTGCAGTGTTCCAGCCATCTGCTACTATTTTTAAGACTCCAGGTTGCAGACAGCTTTCTTTAGCTACCACTCCTCTGAGGATTGCCTTAAACAGAACTGCACAAAGTAGCAAGCCCCCCTGTTAACATCCTTGGGATCCTGAGGGATTGAAGCGCAGCAGAAAAGAAGGCAGGACTGATTTTGTGCAAATAAGGATGTTTAATTTCAGAGCCATTCCTATGGAATCTCAACTCCAGAGGGCCTGGGAGGCTTCACACTTAAATACATAGCCACCAGGCAGCAGTTAGGCCAACTGCATGAACTGCCAGCTGAATTTGGGTAAGGAAGATGTGGAAAAAAAAGGAACTTTTGTGTCACCTTCAGAGGAAGATTTCTTGGTTTTAGTGGTCGTTGAAGGCTATAGATTTAGACAGAGAAAGCTGTCTATTCAGGAAGTTTAAGGTTTCTGCCTACTGTCTGTCCTTCCTGTTTGCATCTCCACTAGAGCGGGTTTTGGCTTCAAGCATTCCCAGGAAATGCCCAAGTTTGGCTTGTCTGTTCTGTCGCATGTCACATGAAAGACAGGTCTTGAAAATCTTTACAGAGCAATCAACTGCTCCCACCAGCCTAAGGGACAAGTTAATCAGACAGCCTATTACCTAAAATGTTAGTGTTTTTCTGGATTCCTATTACAGTATAAGTAAATAGTATCTGTCTAAATCTAGATGCAATTGGGAGGCAGTTGACACATTTGAATGTAAAAACCTTTTTTTTCATCAGACAGACTTTCTTGACAAGACTACGCTGAATGTCTTCTCTGGTGATTTACATTAATGCTGGCAAGGAATTACTTTTAATTTTTGATAATTTATGTATTTACCCTTTGGATGTTAAACTAAGTTGTAAGTTCAAAACCGGACAGTAAAGATTAATGTCAAGCATTGCAAATGCTTTTTTTTTGTCAAAAAAAGTATTTTTATTTTATTTTATTTAAAACTACAGGTCCTGTCTTGGTGTTCTCTTTATATATGTATATATAGGCACATACAAAAGAGTCTAGTCTTTATTAAACTCAAACAAGTCCTCATCAGTATTGTCAGGGAAGTTTCCAGTTGTTCAACTAATCTTAATGTTTTTGTCATCTGAATAGCTTTTTATGTTTTGCTAACTGAATTCAGTAGACCTGC